GTAAAAATAGAAGGGGAAATTCTTTCCTCTATGAACAATGGTCACTTAAATAAGAAAATGGTTATTATGACAATCAAGAATTATTCATAGTTTTTTTTTTTTACAAGTGATAGCCTCTTCTTGATTAGTAATTAAAATTATAATTTATCACTTCATCAGGAAATTTTATGAGGCGAAAATTTGCGGAAATTTTCATCACCCGCGCAAATTTGCACAAGTTTTTTTGTGCGGGCTTTTTCCGTTTTTTCGATTTCGCTCGTGAGTTGCAAGACGTAGAGCGATTTTCTACTAAGCTGTTTCTAAGCTAAAGAGAACAACCTTGCTCTTAGCTACAAAATGGCATGTGTTTCATCCTTGTGACATTGATATTCGCGGAGATCGTTCGGTTTAAAGAAAAACATTTGTGCACGTGTCATTTAGAAAATAGTTCTGCGCTCGGGTGATGAAAATTTGCCTTATAAAATTTCCTGATGTCCGTTATACAATTTCTTGTACCATTTATTAAATAATTTATTAAAGTTTTTTTATTAGCTTGGATTTTTTAATAATTTTTTAGTATACATTGGGGTTCGAATTTAGATAAATAAGATATAAGTTTAGTTTTATTCTTTTTTAAAGAAAAAACAAAACATAATAATTAGAATTAGTTATATATAGTTTTATCCATATTTAATGATGTTTTATTCGAAGGGATGGAAACAGCAGCACAGCAGCAATAATATTATAAATAGTAGTGGTAGCAATAATAATATAGAAAATATTGGAAATATTGGAAATATTATTACTACTGGAGAAAGAATTAAGCTGATGTTATTTAATCACATTATACAATAGCTCATAATTTATATCTTATTTTTATCAAAACCAAATTGCGGAAATTAATGGAGGAAATCAAAGGGTATCAATGAGTATGTCAATTTTTGCGATCATATAATTCTTAAATAAGTACCTAACAATCTGCATATTCCAAATCAATAATTAACCTTTAACAAAAACAATCGACTATGGCAAGATAGATCAATAATGGTGAAAGAAGGAGATGGAGTGATTGAGATTTAAATATGGAAGGAGGAGGAGGAGGAATTACTAATTTAAAGATATTCCCGAAATACTGGATTTAAGATATATTTTATTCAAAAATAATACCTTTTATCATTAAAATTTCAAATCTTTTATTGGTATAATATTAATTGTTTCGGGATTTATTGAATATCTTCAACAATATGTTAATTTTTATTAGAAACTCCTTTAAATTATTGCTTCATGGTGAACAATTATTAAAAAATGTAAATATCTGAGAATTTATTTGGGCTGGAGCAGCTTTCTGTGAGTGTTTTTATTTAATTTTATTAATTTTATTTATTTATAGTTATTTTATTATTTATTAATTTATTTATTTAATTATTATTATTTATTATTTTAAATTTATTTATTATTTATTTTTTATTATTATTTCTTTTTATATTAACCTTTATACTTTAATTTTAAATTAAAGGTATCAAACTTCAGTTCAATGATTTTCAATAATGCATTTAAAATAGACATGTTTGGTGAAACATATAAAGCAATAATGACAAATTCCTAATCTACATATAATTAGTAATAACAATGATAATGATTATGCTGAGAATTATTTTTAATATTCAAATCTTCATCCATTTCTAAAAGAATTATGCGAATGTATAAAACTTCAAAAATATCCAATTTTTGGATCTTCAAAAGGATATGGAACAAATACTTGAATTTCATGCTCAAAATCTTATTCCATCTGAACCATTTAATTATTCTAATTATTCAATGATTAGTTATTTGAATTATATTTATTATATTTCTCATAAAGACTTTAGAGATAGTATATATTATTTAATTATTATTTGTCATTTATATTTTATTTATTCATTATTATTTATTTATTATTATTATTACTGTTTATTTATTTATGTAGCTGCACGTATTATATATCAATGTGCCAAGAAAATGAAAAGAGTGGTTTAGCATTTAATAATTTTCAAAAGTCATAATTGAATTAGCAAGTTATCTTCCAGCCATTGATGCATCAAAAGTCATTTCACCTTCACTTGTTTGGCTTCATTTTGCACCCTTTCACTTAATGATGGTGGTTGAGTAAGTAATTTATTCATTTATTATTTTATTAATTATTTCTTTCTTTCTTAATTAATTAATTAAATTCTTTAATTTTCACTTTATCAAAAAAGGCATTGAAAAGAAAAACATATGAAAATATTCCAAAGGGTAAATTTATTTATTATTTTAATTTTGTTTTATTTACTTTATTTATTTTTTAATTTATTTAAATGCTTTCTCCCATTAGATCAAGTTTTAATAAAATGTTCTTTGATACATAATAAACATATCCCTTATTGAATGGAATTTTTACAAAAAGAATGAGTGGATTTTCAGAAGAATGACCTGCTGGTCAATACTCAATTTTTTATATTTTTTAAGACATAGGAAATAAAAGATTTAGAAATCTTAAAGTTTTTTTTATGTTCATATATATGATAAGACCATAGAATTCAAAGATCTAGAAGTATAAAGTAGAAATAAATAAACAAAATCTATTGAAAATATACCATATTTTATGATGGGGTGGAACAACTGTTGAAAAAATATAAATTTTACAAGGTAAGCTTCAATATTATGAAAGAAATTATCTATAAATGTATTAATGTTATAATTATTATGGTGTAGTTGCTGAGTCTAGGGATCATAAACTACAACTTCAACAAATTATAAATGCATTCGCAAGCAATTTATACCAGTAAACTTCTCGATTTTTCAAATCTTTCAAAACCTAAAAATGAAAAATTTTTTTAAAAAAAAACTTGAAGAATTAACCAAATCTTTTTATCAAATAATATATTTATAAGTATCAATAAAAAAAATAAGATATAGTAAATAAATATTTAATATTTTGTATTTATAGCATACTAGAATGCAATGTTCTAGTGCATTATTTAAACATTTTGTATTTATAGCATACTAAATTGGCATTTTAATGCATTATTTAAATGTTTCATATTTATAACATACTAGAATGTCTCTATAAAATTCCTGATAACTAATCTAAAAAAATTACATGTATTTTTTATTTTTATGAACATTTTTCATAAATATCTCTTATAATTATGAAAAAATATTTAATTCGATCTATAAAACTAACATACAGTTAATAATATATATTGTTGAAATTTAACTAAACAGATAAAGCAAAGAATAATACATTAGAAATTTCAAAGTGTTTACTGGGTCTTGAATTGGTGAATCTATAAAATTTCAATTTATGTATAGAAATAATTATTAATAGGAAGAATTACTAATAAAATTCATTTTTATTAATCAATAGAATTTAGTTTTTAAAATTCAAAAAAATATTATATATTAAATATTGAATAGATATTAGTGTAACTAATTTTGGGTATTTAAGAGAAGGAGAAAACTCTTTCCATCAATCACTTGCACCAAATATTTTCACAGTTGAAAAACATAGTCTTTCAAATTTAATATCTTTAGATTTTACTATACTCTTACTCATATGGGTAAGATAATGCATAAACACTATACCAGAAGTAAAGCTGATCAACAAAACAACTGTCATTTTCTTGATTATTATTAAAGTACAAATTTTATTCCCATGGTCAACAGTGTTCAAGAAGAAAACAAGTAGAACCTTAATAATGGAAACAAACTAAAAGCACCTTCAATGACAGGACATCTTCCAAAGTATAGTGGAAAATGACTGGGTTAAAATTCTTTAAGGTCTCTATTGAGGTGGAAAAAATCAAGGAGAAAAATTTCTCTATGAAAATTCTTAAGGTTAAAATCTCCTTTTTCAAAATCAAATTGAAATAATTTTGGAAAAAATTGAAATAGCCAATAAAATGAAGAATATTGTTATTTACTTATTAAAAAAGGAAGATATACAAAATACAAAAAAGTTAATTTAGAAAGTGCAAAAAACTGCATCTACTTGTAGAATGTAATTAATATTGTCACTAGATATAGGAGGCACAATAAAAATTGAGCCAGGAATTTAGAATTGAGCACAAGAATTAGTTCTGGCATAATTGGCACAATGGTTAAATTCTGGTACAAAGCTAAATTCTGGTATAATTCTGGTACAATCCTGATTGACTGGTGCAATTATAAAATTTATTGAATAATTGTTTTTTTGATATTTAAAGATAATCGGTTTTATATTTAGTTTTAAATTGATTTTTGTATAAAGAATGATTTTTATTATAATATTTTAATGATAGGATGAAAATTTTGGTTGTTTCTTAGAAAGAAAGTATTTTTTTTAAGGAAATGTATTTGTTTTTTATTTTGAGAGAAAGTGAGAGAGAGAGAGAAAGAGAGAAAGAAAAAAGAAAGAGAGAAAGAGAGAGAGAGCAAAAGAGAGAGAGAGAGAAAGAAAGAAAGAGAAAGAGAAAGAGAAAGAAAGAGAGAGAAAGAAAGAGAGAGAAAGAAAGAGAGAAAGAAAATAAGAATTTTAAAAATTATATTGAAGTTTAATATGGTTGTATTGAGTTAAAATTTAGTTGGTGCAATTGAATTGAACTAGAATTTAGCTGAGCTAGAATTTAACAACAAAATCAATTAGCCAGGGTGCAATTAATTGAACCATGTTAAAATTAATTGAGCCAACCATTTTTAGTTGTTACAGTCTGTGCAAAATAGTACAGAAAAACAGGTCAAATACAAAAGATATATCATACTGACAAGGAATTCTGATTTTTGCTAATTATAATATAGAATTGTTGATTGTTACCAATTTTAAGTTAATCTATAATATAGGAATTATCATTCCTTTGCAGAAATCATCATTTTTTAAGAATATCTTTTTGATATCAAAACCATATTGATTCTATATCACAGCAATATCATGGCAACATATCTATTTAAAAATATGATAATCATATTATGATGGTATCATAGTGATATATTATAAATATTGTCACGATATTATATAATATCCTTGAGATTTTATATAAATTAATATTATTAAATATTGCCACAATATTTATTTGTAACATTAAAATAACATCAAATAGATATCACAGTGATATTTTTATAATTTAAAAATTTTAAAAATAAATTTATATTGTAACAATATCTTTATGATAATTTTTAATATTTCAAATATTTAAATATCCAACAATATTTTTTTTTATCTTTTAATATCTTAATGATATCAAAAGGATATTGATATAATATATATAAAATTATATCACTGCAATATTTCCATAATGTTATTGATATTTTTTATCAATATTTTATCAATATTCCATTAGTATTTTAAAATTTAATTTTAATATCATAGTGATATCATGGCATTAATGCCATATTTTAACACTTTCAATATTGAAATTATATGATTCTATATCACAACAATATCACAGAAATAGCAAAGCAATAGCATAATGACATATCTATTTAAAAATATGATAATCATATCATAATGATATATTATAAAAATATCACCACGATATTTTATAATATCCTCAGGATATTATATAGACCTAAAAATTTAATATTATTAATATCACCACAATATCTATTTGATAATATACAATTGCAGTAACATTAAAATGACATCAATAGATATCATAATGATATTTTATAATTTAAAAAATTTTAAATATTAATTTATCACAATGATATCTTTACAATAATTTTTAATATTATTTAAATATTATGACAATATTTTTTTTTATCTTTAATATCTTAATGATAATACAAATGACTTTCTATAATAATGTATTTCATTGTCAAATGATTAAAATTAATTCATTTTTGTTGAATATATTATCTTAGGGATAGTATCACTTTTCTTTTTTCATCCTTTACCAGATAAAATTATCTGATCAGAAAAAAATGTCTACAATATTTTATTATCTTCAAGATCAATCTCCTGATGAGAAAATATCAAATATTATAATATGTAACTCATCAAAATAATAATGAAATTTGATTTATTTATATTTAATACTTTTTTCCAGATAATTTTTCCTTTAATAAAAAAAAAACTCACCTTTAGTCATATGTCCATGAAGCCTGTTTCAACCTTATGAACCAGTGAAAGATGAAAAGGAAAAAGGTACTAAGGAAAGAGGAGAAACTTTTCTTTTTGCAGTTTTGATTTAATTCTTTTGATAAGATTCTTTTCCTATAATCTTTTCTTTATTCCAAAAATATTTATTTAAAGTCTAATAATTTTCTTTTTTTTTTCTTTTAGAAATTTAAAACACTAATAATAACAATAATGTCTAGGTCCAATCATTTCTTCGTGTATAATAACATTCCAATATCATTATAGAACATGTAAGCAGTAGTGACCTAATATTCTTTGAGAAAAAGATGATTTTTATGTCATTGAAAGCTCTTTGCGATCTCTTTTTTAGAGAATGCATTTACATATTATCATATGATTCTTGAAGAAAATTACTAACCTCTACTATTTTGAATTTATTAAGACTATTCCACACCAAATTTCTTTCACCACTATTTTTACTAATTTTCAACTAATCATTACAAGGTATTCTATTTTATTTAAATAAATAAGATAGAAACAAAGCTAATAATAAAATAAATTATTTAAAAAAATATTAATTGTCCATTAAAATAAAACAAATGTCAACAATTACATCTTCATGATATTGAAATTATGATTAATTAAGATGCTAATAATAAAATAAATTATTTAAAAAAATATCAATTATCCATTAAATAAAAGTATCAACAATTACATCTTCACAATATTGAAATCATGATTTAATCAATATTAGCCATAATTATTTGATTAAAAATATAAAATATTTATTACTATTATTATATCATTAATATTAATTGTTATTATTAATATTAATTATTATTACAACTATTATTATCATATTATTATTAATTATTATATCATTATTATTATTTTATACATAATTAGCAGAATTTAAACCAAAATTATGTTCTGATTTTACTTCAAATGAGATATCTTGTGTAATATAATTCAATAATTTTACTTTTGTCAATGCCTCTTGTTTTTTTGTTTATTGTCAAGTAACATCTCAATATGTATTTTTATTACTTGCACAAAAAAGATTTGAAGTGTATTTAATTCATCTATTTTACTTCTTGAATTTATGGCAAATTGAAGTTGCAAATTGAATACACCTCCAATTATCTTAGTTGTGATTGAGGTATCAATAATAGATTTATTAGTTGAATTTTTTGAATTTTATCTAAAAATTTTTAAAAAATTTTTAATAAAATTTATTATAAAATTACTAAAAAATTTATAATTTAGTAAAATCAACTTACTTATTATTACATATTATAGTTTTTGCATATTCTATAACTTTATTATTGAT